CATCAACCGCGATAGCCATTTTCACGTTACCTCAGTTCCCCCCATCAAGACATGCATCTTCCTGAGACTGCTGTCGTTATCAATGACTCAAACTCTGCATCCGGCCGATACTTGCATCCCTTCCTGTCCCCCATGCTACATCGTCGTGTCTTATCAGAGATTTAGCTGGATCGGAAGGTCTTGTGACTCGTTGTGCCGCATTGAAGGATTTTTCTTCATATATTGTAGTTCATCGCGTGAACTGACCCCACTGTCTGACAATGCCAGTGCCCGTTTGTGCAAGTGGCTTGAAATTTGCGTCGTCCACCGCTCGACTGAGCAGCGTGGAGGGACCTCTCTATACCCCCTACCCTTCTCACTGGATTCATGACAAAGTCTTTCACCTGTTGGGCAGCGAAAATTTCAATCTCGCACCGTCCCTCAAGGTCACGACTCTTTCTTTCTCGGCAGACGGCGCGGCATACATTATCGCAGTCATGCACAACTTTGAATTGGCCTCGCTGAAGGGGGCCGAGATCGACGTGGATACTTGTGCAGGGCAGAGGCTGACCTGCTTTTACGTCCACTGTCACAGTGCAAAGCATGTCAGACCCTTGAATATGTCGACGTCTTCGCCAGTTAATCGCCCAAGCAACTCGTTACACCGATCGGACAGTTCTTTTGTTTCAGGCAACCGCGAGTCTGCAACTCCATTTTTCACATTGCTGCAACCATCTTGACAACGACCTTTCAAAGCCATGTCCAGTCTGTCGCACATCCGTTCGTTGAAATTAATAGACCTCCATTTTCATTCATCCGACGTCACATTCCATGGACTATTCGCAGCGCTCCGTCTATGTCTCCATTTGCAAAACACTGCGAATTCGATATTTTTTGATGCTGCACACATCGATGTCGATCCCACAACCGAGTCAGTTCAACACCCCCCTACAAGCATTTGATCTGGACTCCCCTGAGGCAGTGGAGGCTGAAGCTGTCGCTCGCATCATCTTCCTCCACGCCCCCTCGCGTCCACCAAATTAATCAAGTGTACGCTAGGAGACGCTATCGGAAGGACTGGGAAGAGGTCAATAGGCATCTCAAACATTTTAATCTCTTCTTCCGTTCTCGGTCCGCGCGAAAAGTTGGATATAAGTGGGTCAAAAGCGAACTCGTAATTTCCTGATGTACACTTTTCCTGATGGTCGACTCGGATCTCTCGGACTCCAACAGAGGTCAATAGACATCTCGGACCTTTTAATCTACTTCGTTCAACCTCGGTCATTAAATCATAAGAGCATTTTCGCAGTCCTAAGACTTTGTGAAACACGGGCACGTCGCTGTACGTGCTTATGCCTCGAGCAGTGACCGTGAGGATGGCTGTCTGAAGACATACTAGCCGTAATGTAAATAGGCGAAACAATAATGCATAGTGGGTGGTAGGCATTGCTTGTTTACGAGATCCACGCTTGATCTGCGCACCAATTCACCGACGGCCGTCTAGTACCCACTCATCTCCCTAAGAGAGCCAGACCAAAACAATCCTATTCATCGATAACGTACACACACGACGGAAGCAGACATGATAAGACGCAGTACATATATGCGGTAACACTTTCGATAGCTCAGCCTTGAACGCCTCTGCAAGGCGGTGCCTAGTTGACAGGGGTGAGTACCCACTGCTGGTAGGCATCCGCTGAGTTGAAATTCGCCAGTTTCACCTTGTGAACGCTATGAGCAAAAGGCTCTGAAAAAAAACCATCAACTTACTAGTGTCATCGTCCGGAAGGGATAGCACACCAGGTCTGGGTTCCCGAGAGTGAAACTAATCCTGTACACGCGAGTCGTTAAACTAGCAAAAATATGTCGCTGAGGCGTCGGATTCTCACCTATAAGTCTCATTCACGCCTTGAACAAGTTCGACGAGAAACGCGGACCTGTCATAAACGACTGGTTCATTCACACCCTGTCCACGTTCGCGTCAACCGACAAGCAGATGAATGAATGAATGCCGATCCAGCATACCTCCTTGACAGTGGTGAAGAATCCATTGCCATTGTAGCCCTTGTTGTAGGTCTGAATGGTGAAAGTGTTGTCGGAGTTCTTTGGCTCGGTTTGTTTCTTGATCATCCACTAGCATACGTGATGTGTGTGAGAACCGATCACAAAGTGAGTGCGAACGCGTATAGATACCATTTGAGCCTCGGTGCATTTTTGGTGTAGCCTTGGATCGAGTTGCCTTCAACGGTGCTGTCGTCCTTCAGATCGAGCATGAGGTCTTTGCCGATATTTCTGACAGTATACACTCCATTTTTGGTGAAAGACATTGTATAAGATGTAGGTCGCTAGTAAGATGATTCGACTTGAATGAGACGAGTAATCGACAAAAGAAAGCTCATAGAACGGTAGGCTTTTATACTGAGCATCTTGGGTTGTTTTGGCTCAACATTGAGCTGAAGCGAGGACGTTGGGTAGAGTCTGCCAGGGGTCTTTTCATGGTGAATGCCGTCAGCGCCCGGTGTCCGGATTCTATTGCTCAAGATTCGAAGTTGTTTGAAGGAACCGAGCAGATTCCAAATGATAACAGGGGACCAGAAACCGAGTAAGCGGTTGCCCGAGGCGTAACTCGACTGACTTCATTCAGTTTGGGCTCACTCGAAGGTGGCAAGCCACTTGATGAAACATGGAAGTGCCGGGTAGTCGCTGCCGAGAAATTCGCAAAAAAATCTGACAAGGAATGATTAGTAACTCCTCCGGCAGTGCCAGAGCGACTTGTGGCTTGATCTGCGGGATGCGGCCTCAAGCCCACCGCATCCACAATAGCTGCTCCTACCGTTGACAAGTTTGCTCCTCGATTTCGGTTCGAATATATTGCCAGAGTCAACTAACGGCAGAAGAGCGTGTTGGAGCATGATTATCAGACAAATGAGTGTGCCGCGGGTCGCGCTGGGTTCAAGACAGGTTGTTGGGGCATGCAAGGACAACCTAACCATGGGACCAAAGTTACCCCTCGACCGAAAAGCTGACAGTAGTGCTGTACTTCCCGTTGATACGAGAAATCAATTGAACTCTCGAAAAGTCCTGACAATGTGCTGCGATCGGCAAAAAGTCCCCGCAAACAAGATTTAGAACAACGTTTCGTAAACTTCTTTTGCAATCCATATGGAAGCCCTGCATGTAGTCCTGACAATGTGCTGCGATCGATACGGAAGTCCCATGTAGATGCCGAGAGGTTATCGACAAAGCTTCCAAGCAAGCGAGAGTGAGGAATGTTTGTAAAGCCATTTGCAATTCACTGCCATAGGAGTCCCTAGGCTAAAAATTGGCGCGACGCGAACTACACCTGCAAATTCAATCTTCCATCATCAAAGCCATTCACAATGCTTTTCTTGATGCACTGGCCTTTGTATAGTAACCATCAGAGAATTCTTGAGTGTACCCAGGGTGCTTTACGTTGATTGCGGTGGTTTTCCGACGTTATACTACATGGCTTTATATGACTTTATATTCCAATATAAAGAAAATCTTTCCTATATATGATCATGTATCGGGATATATGACAATATCTTCGGTTCACGAGTCCTTTAATGGCCACATTAAGGTGGAGCGAAGGGAAAGATTAAATGTATTGGAGGGGATGATATTTGTTGAAGGTAGCGAAGGCAAGATATCTAGAATTGCAGTGAATGTGAATTCTTAGGAGAAGAAAAGAATAAACAAATCTTTGCGGGCTTAATTGATAAGCATAGAGGATTTGGTTATTTGTGTGGGAAGAGTTGGCGTTGCTTGACCGAGACGTGTTTTTACTCGGTGTCTCATTGGTACATGGGGAGCATATTGGCTCGGCCGAGGAATGAGGCCGACATGCTCCCCATGGTCCTGTAACCCATAACTTGAATCATGGTGGATGATACTAATACCGCCTACCCGCGGTGTACCCAGCCATTGGCTCAGCACCTGACGATAAGATCTCGTACCTGCAAGCCGCTCGGCTGGATCGGAGTCTTATTTATATTCAAACCACATCGACAATCTAGAACTACACTGGCTGTTACTTGATACAACTTGCAGTCTGACGATTTTAATGTAACTTGTCCTTTATCTCCAGAACCCAGACTGATATACGGACCTGCTCTTTGTCAGTAGATACATCATGGCAACTTACTGTTTGATGATCCCGTAGACCCATGATACGTCCTCTTCTCCACAGTATATAGCTTCATTTTTATTCCCTCGCACGTATTTGACTACTAACATGTTTCCAGCGACATTCGACATGGTTCCTTTAATCTCACGGCTCAAGACATTTGGTGGTGCGTATACTGATAGATATTCCCGAAAGAATGCGTACCCCAAGTGCTGGGGCACCCCTAGGCTTGTTCGTAATGAGATGTACATTTTACGAAACTACCTTGTAGATGAGACGGAGAAACCAGATCCAAACTACCTAGCGCCTCCATTGCAAAAGAAGTTTACAAAACTAGGCACCGTCACCGGCATTGACCAACCCATCATGATTACATAATGTTGGAAGTAACTCCCGGTAGCGCCACAGCACCGCCTTCTCCATGCCACCTATTCCCGACTCCCGCGTTAATGGAGGAGGGGCTCGGTGATACCGTGACCTTACTCCGGAATTGTTTGGCTCCTACAGCAAGGTACGAGCATTACCTCAGTTACGGCAGAGATGAAGACTTCGTTCACTGCTCAGCAATGACCTTGGACATTACATAATTCCACTGATATTTTCGCTCTCTTTCTTGTAAATGAGGTACAAAGTATTATAGCTAGTAATGATAAGTATACACTCCCTTTGATACATTGGTAGCACATTTAGTAGTCCAATATGTTCTATTGAGTGTATTCTGGTTATTAATGATATACGCTAGCGCACTACACAGGGAGGAGCAGGGTGAGACTTAGGCTGGCCAGAAAATGTTGATATTGTGGAACTACCAAATTAGGACAGATTCTGGGAGTAGTGCTCAAGCATTATAACTACCACTTTCGGGCAACTTTCGGGCGATAAAAACATAACCTTCGCCACCGTGGTGAAAACTGGGTACCGGCGGTGTGACGTAAGAACGTAATGAAAAGGCCTCCGAGCGGAAGCCTTATGTAATTGGTGAGTAGCATTGGAAATTACCTGGCAACACCATCCCAAATATCCTTCGACAGGTATACTAGTACTTCAATAAACGATAATTGGCTGAGACCTAGGCAAGTTGCAGGCAGCACCACCCACTCCCTCTCTGACAGCTGTAGACTTCGTTCTCGAACAATGCCGTCAAGCTTAACTGGCTAACCGCGTTATTCGTCTCAACCCCCGATCATTACTCAACTTCTCGGTATCTACATGGGGCTTCCATATGGATTGCAAAGTTTACAAAACATTGTTCTGAATTTCGTTTGCGGGGAATTTTTGCCGATCGCAGCACATTTGTCTGATAATCATGCTCCAACACGCTCTTCTGCCGTTAGTTGACTCTGGCAATATATTCGAACTGAAATCGAGGAGCAAACTTGTCAACGGTAGGAGCAGCTATTGTGGATGCGGTGGGCTTGAGGCCGCATCCCGCAGATCAAGCCACAAGTCGCTCTGGCACTGCCGGAGGAGTTACTAATCATTCCTTGTCAGATTTTTTTGCGAATTTCTCGGCAGCGACTACCCGGCACTTCCATGTTTCATCAAGTGGCTTGCCACCTTCGAGTGAGCCCAAACTGAATGAAGTCAGTCGAGTTACGCCTCGGGCAACCGCTTACTCGGTTTCTGGTCCCCTGTTATCATTTGGAATCTGCTCGGTTCCTTCAAACAACTTCGAATCTTGAGCAAATAGAATCCGGACACCGGGCGCTGACGGCATTCACCATGAAAAGACCCCTGGCAGACTCTACCCAACGTCCTCGCTTCAGCTCAATGTTGAGCCAAAACAACCCAAGATGCTCAGTATAAAAGCCTACCGTTCTATGAGCTTTCTTTTGTCGATTACTCGTCTCATTCAAGTCGAATCATCTTACTAGCGACCTACATCTTATACAATGTCTTTCACCAAAAATGGAGTGTATACTGTCAGAAATATCGGCAAAGACCTCATGCTCGATCTGAAGGACGACAGCACCGTTGAAGGCAACTCGATCCAAGGCTACACCAAAAATGGCACCGAGGCTCAAATGGTATCTATACGCGTTCGCACTCACTTTGTGATCGGTTCTCACACACATCACGTATGCTAGTGGATGATCAAGAAACAAACCGAGCCAAAGAACTCCGACAACACTTTCACCATTCAGACCTACAACAAGGGCTACAATGGCAATGGATTCTTCACCACTGTCAAGGAGGTATGCTGGATCGGCATTCATTCATTCATCTGCTTGTCGGTTGACGCGAACGTGGACAGGGTGTGAATGAACCAGTCGTTTATGACAGGTCCGCGTTTCTCGTCGAACTTGTTCAAGGCGTGAATGAGACTTATAGGTGAGAATCCGACGCCTCAGCGACATATTTTTGCTAGTTTAACGACTCGCGTGTACAGGATTAGTTTCACTCTCGGGAACCCAGACCTGGTGCTATCCCTTCCGGACGATGACAACTTAGTAAGTTGATGGTTTTTTTTTCAGAGCCTTTTGCTCATAGCGTTCACAAGGTGAAACTGGCGAATTTCAACTCAGCGGATGCCTACCAGCAGTGGGTACTCACCCCTGTCAACTAGGCACCGCCTTGCAGAGGCGTTCAAGGCTGAGCTATCGAAAGTGTTACCGCATATATGTACTGCGTCTTATCATGTCTGCTTCCGTCGTGTGTGTGTACGTTATCGATGAATAGGATTGTTTTGGTCTGGCTCTCTTAGGGAGATGAGTGGGTACTAGACGGCCGTCGGTGAATTGGTGCGCAGATCAAGCGTGGATCTCGTAAACAAGCAATGCCTACCATCCACTATGCATTATTGTTTCGCCTATTTACATTACGTGCCACTAGTATGTCTGAAGACAGTCATCCTCACGGTCACTGGTCTGAGCGGTCACGCTTGACTCTGATGCTGTGAATGAGCCATGTTGACATTCTCCTGCTCCATCGATTACAGGTCCTAATCGACGAAATTCGCACAAGCCCAAGAAGTGGGGAACATAAAAGTTCATGACATATACCGCACTTTCCTGCTGTTCAAAAACAATCGGATTGAAAGAAAGAATAGCAAATACGACTTGTCCAAGTGTAGTCAGGAGGGAAATAAAGTGTCGGGAACAGGCATCTATGACTACAGCTACAGCTACTCGCAATAGGTATATCTTCAATGAGACTGAGATGGAACCACATACGCCTTCCTGCCTCTCCGACCTCCAATCCCCTCCCAGTTCCTCACCAAAACCACCGCTTCCTCCTTCATCAACACCAACGCCTGCTCAATATCACCTTCCACAGTTTGCTCGGCACCAATCACCATCCTCACACAAAACACCCCATTCAGGTCCGTCTGGGTGATCGCAATATCGCTTCGTGCTGCAAGACGAGCGTAAAAAGCGCGGTTTAGAGCGTTTAGCTCGGATGCCCCAAGGTGAGGAAGGGACTTGGGCGCCATCCTGAAAACTGTCATCGCAAGGGACGGCTTCGTGACAACAGAAAATAGGTCAGATTCATATATGCACTGTGCGAACCTGGCGTTCAGCCTGATACACTTGTGAGACACCACCGCACGTCAGGATGAGTAGACGTGAATAAATAGATAAACATACATCAGTGATGTACTTTTGGAAGCCATTCACTCCGCGCGTACGAAGGGCAAACCAGAATTTGAGCGATCGGAATCGTCTGCCGAGGCCGAGATGCCAGTTGCGGTAATCGATAGCGGTGGCTATACACATCCATCAATATTGAAGCGACAACTCAACAGGAACAGAAACGCACCAGCATCCCCGTGTTTCGACCGCAAAAATTCAGGCGTAACGTCCAGCGCATCGGACAAATGCCTCCGGTGCCGCACCCACAAACAGGAGCCATCAACATGTATAAGACCCCACTGCGGAGTGTTTATAAGTCCAGACTGATGCTCACGAGGCAGAAATAAACTAACCTTGTGGAAATTAGTGCAGAAAGAATCTACATAGTTATTGATGGCGGGAAGTTGGTATGCCTCGCGATATTCGGGACACACGAATGCGACGCCTGCCCATGCAGCATCGACGTGCAGCCAAAGGAAAGGGTAATGTTTCGCTGCGCGTATAAATTAGTTTTAAGGAGTTTTGATAACATAATCAGCATACGCACCGACATCAGCAATCTCGTCGAGCCGATCGACAGCACCGGAAGATGTCGTCCCTACCGTACCGACTGCAGAACAAGCAAAATGAATTTCAAGACTGCGGTCCATTGCGAAGAACATACTCAAGATGAAAGGGTGAAACCCGGCTTTCACGTCCTCCTCCAATGCTACCTTAAGCGTGTCTCCACGCAACGCAAAGTCGTCCTGTGCTGTGACTTGCAGTGTGTGCACTTTGAGACCTAAGACAAGCGCAGCTTTCTTCCCAAGCGAGTGGGTTTGAGTGGTGATATAGAGCACGAGATCCTCCATCGCCACGTGAGGGTGTTCACGAATATATCGTGAACGAGCGGCAACCGTTGCGACCAACACAGAGTCAGATGCTGACGTCTAATGCACAGCGATCAATATAAATTAGTGATATAAAGGGATGAGAAACAGACCTGAATGACGCCGCCGCCGACCTCAGAGATATTGTAAAACGCCTTGTCAAGCCCGAGTATCTGTGCGGTCCAGTCCATGACCACGGCCTCAAGCTCTGTGCATGCTGGGCTCGCAGACCACTACAAAAAGTCACAAAAACGGCAGGAGGGTTGCGGTGGAGACGTACGTTGAATCCTGGGTTAGACGTGCTAGACGCGTACAATTCTGCAAGTATACCCTCAAACGTGCTTGACGTAGGGAAGTACGCAAAGAACGAGGGGTGCTGCCAGTGTGTCAGGCCTGTAAATCCAAATGAGATACGTAAATTCATGCAATAATAGGAGTCAAGTACCGGGAATGATGTGCTTCTGATAGTCGTCCGCGATGAGCTGGAAGTCCTCGCCTTCAGTGGGGGCAGAGGCTGCGTTCATAATGATGAGGAGGAAGCGCGAGGTACAATGAAAAATGCGCACATGGGAGCGCCTTTCTGAGGTATCCTGGCTCAACTTGGGATGAGACAGGCCTACCCCTTAAGGAACCATGATAGTCGCATATTCTATCGATTGCTTGATAGCCAGCTTTGCGGAATCTGGGGTACATCAGATATGACTAAGGCCAGGATCTGACACTCGCAGAACGTACTGTTCAACATCCATGACGATAACAAATTGTTGGTTAGATAGGAGTTGGCTTGGAGTGGAAGAAAAATGTACAGGTGATTGTGTGCAGTTCGAGCCCCCTGGTCGGTATGTCTTTATAGTCGGGGCGTCTTGTTGCGCTCGCGCAAATTGAATAACTGGGAACACGTGCCTCCAAAGGCAACAGTTCCGGTAGTTTGGAACACTGAAGCTGTACAAATTGCAATTACCTCCGGGAGTGAATAGATCCTTCGCAGAAGGCTCGCTCACGTATCATTGTATCAAGGGTCAGTTAATTTAGGGAGAGTGTGATCCGGGCTTCACGATCACGAAGAAGACGGGTTGAATCAAGCGCCCCGATAACAGCGGACTAGGATCAGAAACGCCGATCGAGGAATACTTGGCCAATACACATCCTTGACACGAGGGAAATCGGTGTTCTGGCTAAAGGCTGGTCATACCGTACAGTTGAGGGAGTTGTACAAACCTTGAGCTGAAGTTGAGCTAAACATTCACCCGAATTCATCAATTTGCTCCTAGAGACTAAGAGACTATGATGCTGTCATAAGTTGGGTTTCAACTGCTAAAAGTTTTCAGCCATTGTCCGAGTCGTGCTTGACGGCAACCTTGCGAAGAAGCGCGTGAACTGCATGATCGGGGTGCAAGGTGAATTGCGCCTGAACTAAATTCAAGGGTAAGATGTTGGTTTGGTAAAAAGAAAGAAAGAAATGTCCTTCAGGTTACGCTCGGGCTAGACCCTGTTAGTAACAGGATCTACATCACTGAAAACCTCATCGTGTGATATGCCGCTGTTCAAATTACAAGGCTGAATCATAATATTTACTACCGAGATACACGGCCAATCGAAAAAAGCATAGAATCTATGCCTAAAAATAGGGTTATAGCATTTATGTTGGTCCTATCTCCGCACAACAAATTTCGTAGCGCATATTACATATAATTATTCCCGACATATTTGTTAATCATAAGCTGACATAATGGCGATGGTTCCAGATCGTCACAGCGATGCTAGCAGGGTGTAAATCCATCGGCTGGTTTAGGGTGCACGTTATGTACGGAGACCTAGCACCGTAACTACAGTAGACTATGCCATAATGTATATGCCTTTAGTGTATATTTTCAATACTGTATCGAGTTTTCAATGGTCCCACTGTGGGACAGTGAGAAAATAGATCCATAATGTATATTTTATAATGTATTGACCTTGCATGCCTGTTATACATTATCAGATGGCACTTTTGGTGGTGGGGACCATTATCAGTGCCAGCTATTGTCCACATGTCATATGAAAACCTTATGTATGACATCAGGCCAACCAAGAAACCCACAAATCAGATTCACATGATGACTGCTGAGAAGTGCAAATCTCATGATGTCCCTCCACTTGATAATTGGCCAAAGCCAAAGAAGCCAAAGACAGTCAAATGGGTTTGACTTGAATGGTGAGGACATAGCCATTGTTGTTGCAGTCAGTTGAGAGATTGTGTTAAGAACCATGCTCAAAGGAGAGAGAGACTGACTCAGAGGGGCTTGGCCTCAGCTTGTATGCTATGCCCCTTACCTGAGCATGTGCCCTTCATTTCAGAGGAAGTCTGATGATGGCCCAATGAAGTCTGGAGGACTTCTGGAGGAGCATAGGAAATGTCCAGAGGAGTGTGGGAGAGTTCCAGAGGAATGCAGGAAGTGCTCAGGAGAGTTCCCACTACAAGGTAATACTTCTACAGGAAACAGGATGGAAGGGTAGGAGGTCTGGAGGACAAGATGTCCAAAGGTATGCAGGACAGGACATGGAGGTATGGAGGACAGGATGTCTGAGGGTTAGGATGATGGGACATCTGAAGGACAGGACATCCGGAAGGAATAGGGGCTACATCAGATGAAGTCTGATGTAGAAACAAACAGAGGTGGACTACCCTAAGGTAGAGTCAGAGGGACAGGAAGTGGACCAAAGTCCAGAGGGAGGGTAAGTGCCGGAAAGGCAAGACTCCAGTCTAGGGAAGCAATCCCTAGACTTGGGACAGAGACATAAGGGAAAAATCCAAAGGTCCAGAATTCTGGCCTAGGGAATCCATCCCTAGGCCTTATGTGTTATGAACTAGGATAGTTGCAGTGTCAACAGCTCGATAAGAGTGATGGTTGAGGTTGAATCAAGACCTTACAAATGTAAGGGTTGTAAGACAAAGCAAAGAGAGTGTCTCTGCTTTGAATATTGATCTTAGACAACTTAGGATTGGAGGTCCTAAGCAAAAGAGTATTCAGGTAAAAACCTAGTAAGATTAAAGTGAAGCACCACTAAGTACATCGTTGACTATATATAGGGAATCGTAGACGATTCAGGGCAGGCGTGAGTCAACCAATGAGTCAGAGATAAGAGATAAGAATGAGTCATGATGAGTCAGAGATGAGAGATAAGAATGAGTCATCTAACGATGGCAGCGGCGATCGTGATGTAATACAAAATGAGTCAGAGATAAGGATGAGTCATCTAGCGACAGCAGCAGCGATTGTGAT